ATTTGATTCATTGATTGACTTGGGTACAACCAGCCTGTCAGATTTTTAGCATGCAATTACTGACTGCGGCTATAGCTGCTAGCAGTAATTCTTGCGTTCTTCTAGCAGGGATGGCTGAGGGGTTGTAACAGAAGAATGGAAGGGAGGACGACATTAAAGATACCCAAGATAGATCCCCAAGATGCAGAACCTATAGGGAAGAGTAACATGCTGCGGACATTGAAGGTTAGGTGTATTGCAGCCATGGAGGCCATAATGTAAGGCAGGACTCAAAATTTAAAATCCCCTATTCCCAATTTCTACTCCCCCTTCACAACCCCCTGTACCCCCAGGTCAGTCTTTACCCAGTACCCCCCCCCCCTTTCCCAGGTCTGTTTTTTTCCCCAATAAATACCCCCCCACAGGCCAGTCTGTCCCCAGTAATATCCCCCCCCCCCCCCCCAAACAAAGGTCAGCCTGTCCTGGTTTGTGGCTTTTATCAAAAGTGAAAGAAAAAAAAATTTTTTAGTGGTCACCAGAACAGTAAAAAATGAAAATCTCTCAATGGGGACAATAGTTTTGGTGACAACCTGGAATAACCTCACTTTGGAGACTTTGCCCTCTGTATACTGACTTATCATAGAGAAGGTTGATGAGGGTGACATCACCTTCATGAAGCTCCACAGGATAGGATTGGGTGAGGCGTTTGAGTTGTTCTATGGCTCTCTCCATGCTAGGGGAGTTCAGTTTGCACCAGGACAATGCTCCTCCATCAGCTCCCAACCCTATTCACAAGAAGACAAGGCCCCAGATCACACCAGTCCAGCTCCCACAAGACTGCAGAGAGCGGCACAGCTCCCCATCCTACAGAGCTCCATGTTAGCAGCTTACCAGAGCTGTGCCGCACACTGCTCTGGTAAGTGTAGGATATAGGACCAGTGAGTATACAAAAAGCACCAAAACCAGCCCCGAGGACTGCATTACCCACAAAGCACTGAGGCTCCCTATTGGTGCAGCTGACAGCTTGGCACACCCAGTCATTTTCTGTGCAGAGACAGAAGGGACAAAGGCACACATCCTCCTTCACATATAGGCATGTTTAATTTTTTTCTTCTTTTTTTTTTTTTTTAACCTCAGGAGGAAACACATCTGCTCCCTCTGATGCTGGGACATACTCACCCCCGACAGCATTTCCACTCGCCAAATGCAAGCAGACACATGGAAATTTTGAGGCTTGCCCTAAGGAATTAGTTATGTATATCTAGGACAAGCACTGACAAGTTTTTCATTTATTTAAAAATAAAAGTCAATAGAATTCAGCAAAATAAATGAACTGCTTTTTCCAGGTTCTTGCTAGAGTTTAATTTTGTTGACAAACCAAGTCACCCCAATAAATAGGATTAGGTTGGGTGTTAGCAAACACCAATTGTAATCCAACTCTAGATTTCCAGTTTTTCTCATCCTGTTACATCTTAACCCCACTGATCTCCTGCAGTCTCTTTACAGCCATATTTTGTTTACATACATGTGCTCCAACACCAGTTGCACAGCATTCCTAAAGAGTGAATTTCCTGATAGTGACAATAAAACAATGCAATGCAAACATGCTATTAGCATTACCTATAGTCTCCACTAGAAGTGTATACGTGACAACAAAGGAAAGAAAGTATCTAATAATGAACTTTGCTACCATTTTTTTTTTTAACTCCGTATATTTAAAACTAAAGGATTAAAAAAAAAAAAAAAAAAAAAAAATGAAGTTTTGATTGGGTTCACATCTAGTTCAACACAGCTCCTTTATTATGCTTTGGGCAAGTAATTTTTTTGCAAAACTTCTTAAAATCAGAGCTCCAATCAAACCTACAAAAAAATTAAAGTCGGCAGCTACAAAAACTATAGCGAATTACTTTTAAAAAAACAGACACTCACCTGTCCCATGATCCAGCAGTGTACTCACCGCAAACCCCTTTCACTGGCCGTCCTTGCTCCCTGGCATCCCAAGTGTGGGCATCCAGCTTTGAGCTTGCAGCTTCAAAGCCGGGTGCCCATTGCGCATGCGTGAGTACTTCCTTTTTACAATTACTTTCAATAAAAGTGGGACTACAGAAAAATTTAAAAACACAGTTCAAGTACACAGATGTTTCACCTTCCAAAGAATTTGCAGTTACAGGCCAGAAACTACTCTGCTTGTTAGGGTAGTCACACTGCTACTTCCTACTTGACTGTTTCCTGTACAATTCTTTGCTCATAGGACAGAGATGAGGATGTTTATTGTCCAATGATCATAGGAAGCTGAATTACTGAACCAAAAAAAATAAGCGTGTTGCCTGTCTGGTGTCCAAGAAGTTCATAAATCACAAGACTAGCTATGACAATTACTAATTGCAAAAAATATTTCAAATTGTGTATTTAACGGTTTGCCTGGAGTTTTATTTGTATCTATTACAACTGTTCTGCTTAGCAATGTTAAAGTGCTACTAAACCCACAACGGTAAAATCAGTCTGTATATGCAGTAAAGCATGCTGGTTATACTCACTGTGGAAGCTAAGGGGTTAATAATCTGCATTGTGTAAAAAGGCTGTTTGATCCTGTCTTCTCTGATCTTCACCTTCTTCTAGTGTCCCCCTCTCATCTCCTGATAAGACATATCCTGTGGAGCCATGCTCAGTTTGTTGCGTATTGTTAAGAGTTGTTTTTTTTCTCTTGGGAGAGTGCATGTTATCAGCACAGGGCCAATCAGCACTGTCCAGACAGGTCAGGGATTCTGCATCCTCCAAGAGCAAAATAAAAAAACTCCTACAAGTTTTAATATGTGCTTTGCTGGACACTAATAGAAGTCACAAGACTGCTCTAACTGCTGATGAGAAAAGGAATTTAGCAGTTTATATTTACTAAAATAACGGCACTTCCATGTTGTGTGTACTGTGGGAGACTAGATATAGTGAATGCAGGGTCCTGGTTTAGTAACACTAAGAATTAAAATATATACGTTTCCCTTTTGTGAGTACTTTAGTGTCTCCCACCAACAAGAACGACACAATGTAACAAAATAGAGACAAGTATTACTGTAATGATAGGTTTATTTAACTTAATTTGCATCTTCTTTAAAGAGGACCGGTATAAAGGCTCAGTTTAAAAACTCTATGTCGAGTACATCAAACAGCTGGAGGTTCAGTATACGCAGCCACCAATATACCTGCAATAACATTGCTATTTTTGCTTATAATTTAGAATAACTTAGTGATCTGCAATATAATTTTTATTATCAGTAGAACATTGAGAGAACTAAACATTTTAGGGCTAACTGCTGTGGGACATTTGGGTCATTTAGTCAGAGCATCACTTTAAACTATAAAAAGAACAGGATTCTTATAAAAATTAGATATCAGACAAAATGTCTCAGGTGGAAACATAAATTACATAATTCTAAACACTGTAAATTATGAATAAAAAAAAACATTTTAATGCCAGCATTATGTGAAGTATGGAACAGTGGAAGAATGGCTTAGAAATAAAATCTGGGATGAGACTACACAGTATATCATTGCACTGTCTGTAAAATTCCACAAGAGGGCAGCACACAGAAAATCTTGCATTTAGAACTTGAAAAGGCACAACGAGATGGCAGAGGGACATCCAGCCTACACTAACAGGAACTGTCTTCAGAGCAGGCCTTCATAAACACCAGCCCTGACACCTTGTTAAAAGTCCACATCATGCCTAGAAGACATACCAAAACATGTTTAATAAATTGTCATTTTAGATTTTCAGACAGAAGAGATTCCTAGTAGAATGCAAAATATAAAATGTTCATGCTGCTACTGGGAAATACATATTCACTGGCTGATACTAGTTTTCATTTGGATATGAATATGATTAGATTAATGTAAATATTTTAAAGTTTTTTTTTTTTTTTTTTTTTTTTTTTTTTAACTCTGTGGTTTGACATCCTAAGTACAATGTTGCTTCTTAATTACTTATTACATAAGCACGCTGTTCAAAGACTGAGCTCAATTTCTTTTATCTCAGTTCAAACCAATACTGATTCCCTGAACAAAGTATAATTCCCCAGTGATATATGGTAGTGCTTTATTTAAGCAATGGTTCGGTTTAATATTTTTGAAAGAAAAATTAAAAAAAAAAAAGCCCTCATGCTCAAAAATGAAGATTGCACGCCCATTCTTCATGGGCAAAGGCACACCTCATGTGTGAGAGCAAAGGTTATACAGTCATGATGAAGAGAATTCACTATTAAACTTATTGCAGGTTTTTGTTGCTTTTGTATGGGCACCCAATTTTGGGGCTCAACATATCTGGTATCCATTTACTAGACACACCACCTCATCTACCAAAACCAGGATAATATTTTGTTTGAGCGAACTAAATAAAATTTGAATGTATTTGTTAACTATAAATCTACATTTGATAAACAGTTGCACAAATATTGTGTGCAACTGCCACCATTATCCAGGGTCCTAGTTTTCAGAAAACAAAGTTTTGGGGCCCATTAACACTAGTGCAGCGGTATTTTACTCGCTAGAAGAATGCCAGTCACCCCTAAGGCACATTTAAAAAAAAAAAAAAAAAAAAAAAAAAAAAAAAGAGGAGTTTTCCACATGCCCAGTCTCACTACAACACAGGATGAAGGTGCAGTGCCGTGCAGTGAGCTGCAATAAAACACAGACACACCGTGCACTGGATGGCATTGCCACCGCACAGCAGCGCAATGCACCACACTGCTCTGCGGTGACATGGACAGGTCATTCTGTGCACTTCAAATAAAGTTAAGAGAAAAAATAAATAAACAGTGAACTGTGTGAAGATGTAAAAATGCAAACCACACTTCCCCCTGCTGCACATCACTGCAGCTCAAAGTACACAGCTGCCCACACAGTGTGAATGGGGCTTCGGTGTACTAGGTGCATCATGTTCAAAATGTACATTTTAGCATTTGCACAGAATTGAACAAAACAAAAAGGGGTTAATACTTACAAAATAAATCTGGTGCTGAAAAATGTGGCTAGGAGCGGTGATGATGAGGAATCGCATCCATATGAACATTTAACTTCATTTCATTGTCAATTATTTGGACAAGTTGCTGCACTGATGGAATATGTCCAGATTCTAGCTTGGACCACACAGGAACATCTGTGAAAAGGAACAAAAAAGGAAAAAAAAAAAAAAAAAAAAAAAAAAAAGGGAAGAAGGATAGTATTATTGCCCAATTAAAACTTACAGTAAGAGGCTTGCCTGTAAAGAATGCACCTCAGGACAACTGGCTTTGTGTTACTATAAAAAAAAAAAAAAAAAAAAAAGAACACACACACATACACAACCACATAGTAGCTATGAGGCGTTGTCACCACCAGAATGAAGGAGTGGAGTCACCTTCTACTTTCTCAGCTCTTGTGTTTAATTCACTAGGTATATAAAATCAATCCAAAAAAAGGGAAAGCGGGATATCTTGTACATGTAAGAAGGGAACAAAAAGTCTACAAACTCCATCATACTTACACTGAGATCCCTAATAATTTAATGTGTGTAACAAGCATAACATTACAAAAGAAGCGTTATTCATTTGTGTCACCAGCTACATTGTAGGGCAAAAATTGAAAAATGGAAGCTATTGGCCTGAATCTACCTACCTTTACCTAACAGAATACACGAATAGACTATAGTTCACACTCCATGAAACGAGTTCTTCCAATGTTGAAATCCCGTCTGTGCTACACTGCATATTTTCTAAACAAATGAAGTGTAAGAAACCTTCAAGCTTAACCTCTATACCCATTCCAAGCCATTCCAGTAATGGAAAACGGTTTCTAAAAAGGAGTTATGAAAATTGCCCAGATGCAAATCAACAACTTAATACCGCAACAGAAAAAAAAAAAATGGAAAATTTACCATTCAAAGTGATCTCAAAGGCTCCGGTGGACATGCATTGGTTCTCGATCATGTTGCTTAGGAAGAAAACCATCATGCAGGCATAGACCTGATGAGAAAACAATCCAAAATGAGTATTAACAGCTGTTATTAAAAGTATAACTAAAGGCAAAACACATTGAGGAAAAATACCATTCAACAAAATGAGACTTTAAATATGTCCTATACAAGTATTTTATAGCAATAAGCATAAAATGAAATAAAAAATGGTTTACATTTTATTTCATATGCAAAAGTTAAAAAAAAAGATACATTAACTGAATACCCCAAAAACAAACTATGGGGTTGCAGGGTTAGCAAACTGTGCAATTGTAGAAAGCTTGGTGCTCAGGAAAATATATCAGTCAACGTGTTTCGCTGGACTTCTGCTTCATAAGGATTGCAGATGAAGCTTTCTCATATAATTATACAAAATAGGGAAGGTCCATGCCTAGGCGAATTATATCATACACCCAAAGAGTCTTCAGGAGGGGTTCTCAGCTAAGCACATGCTCCTGCCTACATGCCTGAGCTAAAGGTAGCTGGAGATCACGGGAACACGGCGAGAGGAACGCGCGGAGCAAAGGTAAGCGAATTGACACAGGGGGGACTTGGCTTACTACTTGGGGGGGGGGGGGGGGGGGGATAGTACTGTGGGGGATGAAATACTATATGAGGGATGAATTACCATATGGGGGATTAATTACTATGCTTACTATGGGGGAATATTACTATACTTACAATGGATGACACATACACATCATTCATCTACTCTTGGTCCGGCCCCAGAGTCCAATATATGAACCCATTGCGGCCCTCAAGTCAAAAAGTTTGCCCACCCCTGGTTTAGCCTGTATAATGCTAGACATGGAGTTTGGAACTTTCGACAACAGTAACCTGCTATCCGTGCATTCCTATTCTTGAGGGCTGGTCCACACTAGATGCAGTCAAGTTAATCTTCCATGTATTCCAATGGCCCTAGTTCACACCAGTGCAGTCAGCTTTCGGTGAAGATAAAAAAAAAAAAAAAAAAAAAATAGAACATGCTGCATTTTTTTCTGCACAGAACTGTACTGGAACACAGCAAAACACATCACAAACGCGCTGGAACGTAGTGTGAACTGTAAGCAAATGTGCATCTGGAACGCATCTGGTGTGTTTTTGTGGTGTGAACTTGCATCTAATTCTACAGTTTGGATTGGTGTCCTCTGCATTAGTTTGCTCAAAATAATAACAATGCTGAGTACACATCTTAAAAAAAAAAAAAAAAAAAAAAACTAGATTTTTTTTCATTTACATTACACTTGCTTTTTTTCTCCTGCTGCCAAAAACAATGCATTTTGAGAGCATAGCAAGCAGAGTGTTTGAGGTGTTTTGACCTTATAGAAGCGAAACAAAATTTAACTCAAAAAGAGCACTCAAACCCACATCCGGTGCCTCAGAAAAAGCTTTGGTTTGGTACAGAGGCACTAAGGTGACTGCTTCCTTTTCCTTGGAAGAAGATATTTCATAAATACGTTTTGACATCTCTGCTGACTTGAAGGTCAGTTGAGGTTTTCATGCATGCAATTTCATGGCTCCAGTAAATAAACAAAAAAAAAAAAAAAAAAAAACACAAAAAAAACACACACACACACACACACACACACACACACACACACACAAACATACACCACACCAAAAAGCTTTTCTCGACAACTTTAGGTAGAAGATGAAATACTAGCTCAGGAAAAAAAAAAATATATTTTTTTTTTTCAAAACACAAAGTAACCATGGACTGGTATTTTTTGTCAATGCATAAAATGATAAAAATGATTACCTAAATCTATTTTATATTTTGAAAGCAAGTTTGTCTCTACTAATAGATGCCAAGATACCTTTTATAAGAAATATTTAAAAGCAAACTTCTCAGGATGTATAATTTTGTTTTGTATTAGCAACATAGTATTCTCAGAGCCAGTGTCTGTTGCTTGAATTCACAGGGCAAGATGATGTAACAGCTAGCAATTTCTATGGTAAGATTAAGGACTTCTGACACATACAGTTGTGTTCAAAATAATAGTGTGTTGAAAAAAGTGAATAAAGCTCAAAATCCTTCTAATAGATTTTATTTCCATACACACAAATGCATTGGGAACACTACACATTCTATTCCAAATCAAAACATGAAGAAAAATATATCAAATTTTTGTTGTTCCTCTAAAAAAATTGAAGAAAAGTGAATATTAGACTGTTCAAACATTTTTCAGTTTATATAGTGAATGTTCGAGTTTGTAAAGAAGAATACAAACACTGCTTTTTGAAAATTTTGCTTTCCTTTGAAATCACTTAATGAATATTTAGTTGTATAAGCAATGTTTCTGAGAACTGCTGTACATCTGTGTTGCATGGAGTCAACCAACTTCTGGCACCTGTGAACAGGTATTCCAACCCAGGATGATTGGACTACATTCCACAGTTCTTCTCTATTTCTTGGTTTTGCCTCAGAAACTGCATTTTTGATGTCACCCCACAGGTTTTCTATTGGATTAAGATCCGGGGATTGGGCTGGCCACTCCATAACGTCAATCTTGTTGGTCTGGAACCAAGATGTTGCACGTTTACTGGTGTGTTTGGGGTCGTTGTCTTGTTGGAACATCCATTTCAAGGGCATTTCCTCTTCAGCATAAGGCAGCATGACCTCTTCAAGTATTCTGATGTATTCAAACTGATCCATGATCCCTGGTATGCGATAAATAGGCCCAACACCATAGTATGAGAAACATCCCCATATCATGATGCTTGCACCACCATGCTTCACTGTCTTCACAGTGTACTGTGGCTTGAATTCAGTGTTTGGGGGTCGTCTGACAAACTGTCTCCGGCCACTAGACCCAAAAAGAACAATCTTACTTTCATCAGTCCACAAAATGTTGCACCATTTCTCTTTAGGCCAGTCAATGTGCTCTTTAGCAAATTGTAACCTCTTCAGCACATGTCTTTTTCAACAGTGGGACTTTGCGGGGGCTTCTTGCAGATAGCTTGGCTTCACATAGGCGTCTTCTAATTGTAACAGTACTCACAGGTAACTTTACACCTTCTTTGATCTTCCTGGAGTGGATTATTGGCCATTTTGGCTATTCTTCTATCCATTCGAATAGTAGTTTTTCGCTTTCTTCCACGTCTTTCAGGTTTTGGTTGCCATTTTAAAGCATTTCGATCATTTTAGCTGAGCAGCCTATCATTTTCTGCACTTCTTTATATGTTTTCCCCTCTCCAATCAACTTTTTAATCAATCTACGCTGTTCTTCTGAAAATGTCTGGAACGACCCATTTTCCTCAGAATTTCAGAGAGAAATGCACTGTAACCAGCATGTACAACATTTGCTGCCTTCCTTCCTTAAATAAGGGCAATAATTGCCACCTGTTTTTCAAAGAATCAGCAGCATGCATGTCATGACTGTTGGGTCTGTTGGATTTCTATTACTCTACTACACCTGCTAGTAAATTTGCCATGTACAAATATAATTTCTACCAAAAACAGTGATTGATCAGGTTAGTGATGTCTGACTGCTATTATTTTGAACACAAACGTAGCTAAAACACTTTTCGCAATAATCATGGAGCAATGTCTGAAGCTGGAAAGATCAATATTGTCAAAAGCAAGCCACTTACTACATCAATGAAATCCCTACTGCATATCAAGTGGGCGGACTATCAATGTACATATGCCAGCAGACTAGATGTACATGATTGTTTTACCCCTAACCTATTTCACTTTTCATTTTAAAACTGCAGGTGTAAGAAAGGAATCTTCATAATCCAAGTTATTTTAAACATGAAAAACCTCTGCTTTGATGTTTGGGGTTTTCACATGATTATAGTTAGTCCCAGAGTTAAATACATCCGACTTACATACAACTCATATTTACAAAACGGAGGGAAACAGGAAGTGAGAGGAAATCTTTTCGCAGGAAGGGAAATTCACTCCTGTACAAGTTGTCATGGGAAAAAGGTGTCTCCACTGAAGCTTTATCACCAATCTGTTTCCACAACAACCCAAAATTTTCAAAAATCCAATTGTCACAGGGACAGAAAGTGAGGTGAAATCTTCTGGGCAGGGACACAGCAAAACAAATTTTTTTTTTTTTTTTTTTTTTAAGCTGGAGTTACACAAAAGGAAAATAAAATAATATGTACCTGTTCCAACTTGCATACAATTTCAACTTAAAACAAACCTACTGAACCTAGTTTGTAAACCAGAGACTGCCTCTGTATTGCGATGTACTGGGAAGTCGGGTGCATTGGCAAATCAGAAGCAGATTCCATTTTGTTGCCTGCAGTCCAGCTTCCGTCTAATTTTAATTTTCAAGGTCTACACTGGTATTCTTCAAAATACTGCAGCAATTACCTTATTTTCTTGTCCCCACTGCCAAAGACTTGGAGCTGGCATGCCAAAAAAAGCAAACGGGTCCTTTCCAACAATTATGAATCCTATTAATACTAGCTTGAAGATAGAGAGGAACGATGCAATGTGTCTGAAAGAAAAAAGATCAAATATCAGTGGGATGAATAATAAAGTAAAACTTGATTCTGAAAATATTTCACAATATTCTAATTTTCGGAGATTGTGGTTTTCATGAGATGTAAGCCATAATCATCACAATTATGACAAGTCACGGCTTATTCACCTTAGCAAGGGCTAATATGCAGATACTTTTTTTTGTGCCAAAAAAGTCCTTGCACTATCTTGCTTTGCATGTAATGATTCTATCTCATATATTAGTTTCACTTTTTAAGTTGCATTACTGAAATAAATGAACTTTTGCACGATATTCTAATTTTTCGAGTTTCACCTGTATATATCAGTAATGGGGAAAGGTTGGCTGCTGGAAGCACAGAACAACATTGATTACTAGGCCATATGACGAAGGGCAGCATGTTCTGATAGTTGTGAAAGTGAGCAGGCAGGTTTTCAGCTGCCCAAATCACTTTCACCACAAAGCCAACAGTCGGCTTGACAAATGTACATGCACTACTATTGCATAATTTGGGGTTGAATCTGGAAGCCAGGATGCCCACGTCCAGAGTCCCCGAACTCTGACTTATCTTTCCAAAGGCGACAGGGTGGAGGGCGACCCCATTCTCTATGACTCAGGTAGTTCACCTTACAGTTGTCCACTTCTGGGATGTAGACAGCAGAAATTGCTGGACAATATTTCTTTGTCCATGAGATAATTTGGCTTGCATTTTGTCAGAGCTCCATGACACCTGGTAACCTTTTTGTGACTAATGTAGGCCACAGCCTTGGCATTGTCTAATTCCACCCTGATCGGGTGTCCCTGGAGAAGGGCAATCGAATGGAGTAGTCATCCTTATTGCCCCAGGATGCTGATGAAAAGCTTGTCTTCCTCTGGTGACCATGTTACTTGGACAGTGAAGGATTGGAGCACTCCTTCCTAACCCAAAGACTAACATCTCATCTCTTTCCAGCACTATGAGAAAAAACAACTTCCCTTTAGCCAGGGCTGGGTTGAAAATCCAATCAGGCTAGAGAGGTCCTGGTCTAACTGGACAGGAGCATGGGTAGATCTGGAAAAGGAGTATGCTTGTTTCATACCAACAGAAAGTTTTGTTGGAAAGGTCTGGAACGAAATTGGGCAAATGCAATATCCTCAAAGAAGGCCACCATGAAACCCAGAACTCACCAAGGACAGTTTCTTTGATCTCAAGACCAGAAGGATAAGAGGGAGAGAACTTTGTTCTTTGGAAGTCATATTTGTTTGGGATGTATCTAGAATCAAGCCCATATACATCAGGTGAAGAGGAGACGGTGAGCAGATTTTATAAAGTTGATCACCTAACTAAACGCCTGGAGCATCTGAATTCTTTAGTGGATGTTTGCAAATGGCCAGAAAAGTGACAAGTCCTTCAGAAAAATGTAATTGAGATAGCCTGTGACCTGGATGCCCTAAGAAGGGCCAGAATAGGTGTCATAGGTGTCATACTTCGTTCTAGAGCATGTCCAATCCAGGCCACCAGGTCATTTCATGTGGACCTCACACCTCTCCTGCAGCTGTGGCGGCACCCCCCCCTCCCCCTCTGCCCCACCTTGTCTATGCAGTCAGCAGCAGAGAGGACGACAGGACTCCTCCAGATCCTGCGCTAGTTTGTACAGCCGCCAAGAGGCCAGTCTCTGACCACCTCTCCGTCTCAGCAGAGGGGACAAAACTCTTCCTACAGAACCTGAGCCTCTGTGCAGCCACAGCTAATTCTCGTGTCTGCATTCAGCAGATTCCAGCCCTGCTCTGGTCCTCCTCCAGACCCAGCTCCATCCAAACCTTCTTTCTGGCAGCAGCAGAATGTAAGGGGGTGCACTGTGATGTAAGGGAGGATGGGGGACTTTCGGCTTCTGATGGTGGTGGGCCTCTGGATATATGATGTACTCTTACATCTAGCCTTACAGAGACAACTAGCCCTTTGAGGGAAACAATGCTGCGGCCGGTGATGAAATTTAGTTTGACACCCCTGTTCTAGAACATGAACAAAAAAAAAAAAAAGCAGAAGTTAACTGTAGGTGTGGTCCTGGAATACAGGATTGTATTGGTTGTTTTATTGTCCTAGTCTAGTTAGTTGCAGTCTGGTAGAGTGAAATTGCAGCGATGGCTCATTGCAGAGCTACATTTGCGAGAATATAAGAAGTATAGGTTTTTAAATAACATTTATACCTCACTGGTTCAGTGCTGCATCTGTCCCATGCAAACTCAAAGACCGCGAACTGAGCAATCAAAGACCGCTGATCACTCAGGCTGCGATAAGCAGAGAGCCAGTGACAGTCACTGACTCTGTTCTGCCCCCTCCAGCACTCACTGGGGCACTGGGCTGTGAAAGGGGGGGGGGGGGGGGGGGGTTGTGGCTAGCTCATGATCTGAGCCAGCTGCCGGTCCATGCATCTGGGTGGCTCCTGATTTTAAAGTTGGTATCTTTCCAGAGCTTGGATTGCCTGAGTAACGACACAGCGAACTGCACTCCTGTAATCCCCAGAAGCACAGCCAAAATAGCTTTAGCTATACTTCTGCTTTATCATTGTCTCAAAACTTTCTATCAGCAGAAACTTTGAAAGAAGGAACATAACTGGTACAGCAAGAGGTTTAGGGCTGCAAGGTTTACCACCAGAACAGACCATTTCTTTGTGAACTTTTTCTACTGGATAGAATTTTCTGTTTCGACCATCATAAATTGCCCGATCTATCGGTTCATGAGCAGTAAATGTCTTTTTAATTTAGCAGGAGTCTTTGTGAAATAATCAAGTACAACAATGCTGAGGCTTTTGTACACAGAAGTGAGCATATCTACGTTTGCAAACATATTGCTTGAAGCATTAACATCGAGTGTCTAGGAGCCAGGTGGAAAGAAATCTTCTGCGGCCTCTTCATTCCCTTCTAAGTCTGCTTCTTCTAGGGCAAGCATATCAGCATCCAAACAACAGAAACAGGAGTCAAAGAAGCAGGTTTTTGAGGTCTGGACAGTGGTGGCTTTATTAACCTCTTCCCATCTTCCGTCTATGTACAAGCTCTGCCGATGCGGGCTAATATACTTGTACGTCGGTCGGGCCTGCATCGATGGCTCCTGTGCAGCTCACAGTGTGCACACCCTGGAGCCCAGCAATCGGTGTGTTGCCCAGACACAACAGATCACATAACCGCTGTTATCAGGCAATTGCAGCACTCAACATAGTAAACAATGGAAAGTATATACTCCATACCAGCGTCCTGATCACTGCCATGCCAGCATCCTGATCACCACCATGCCCCATGCCAGCGCCCTGATCGCCGCCAACCGCCATGCCAGCGTCCTGATCACTGCTATACCCCATGCCAGCGTCCAGCATTTTAGGGTCTCAATTTTCAAAAATATATCTCCCATAGTTTTTAGACTCTATAGCTTTGAGACAGAATAAATAATATACACTGTTTTGGGTCATTTTTACCCCCAAAAATGTAGCAGAACACATTTTGGATTGAATTTATGAAACATGATTTACTTGCAAAATTATGTAACAAAAACTAAGCAAAAAATGATTTTTTTTTTTCCCCAAAATTTTCTGTATTTTTTCACTTGTATAGCAAAAAATAAAAAACCCAGTGGTGATCAAAAACGATAAAAATTTCACATGGGTACAATGTTGTACGACCGAGTAACTGTCAAAGTGTGATAGTGCTGAAGGCTGAAAATAGGCCTGGACTGGAAGGGGGTGAAAGTGTCTGGACTTGAAGTGGTTAAAATTGTTAGTTGTTCAAAGAAATTGCAACATACTTGCATAAAAGTCTGCCTTAGGTAGGCCGCTTTTTGTGTGCTTAAAACAGATAGAATCGAATGTAAAGACAGGTGTTAGCATAAAGTCCTGCTGTGATGCAGGGAAGTATTGTCACTTGGGGGATCGGTGCTGTAATAGCCCTCGGCAGAGTGAACATTTGCCCGGGTTCTCTTTCGTCTGGTTTCCACCATTGTTACAGGTGAGGGTACTGGTCACACCTAGTCACTGACCTGTGACTAAGCTCTGAGTGGTTAAGTTTTAGAGTCAAGTTTGAATAGTTTACACCTTTAAGTGAATTTAAATATGCAGTTCACGGCCATAGGGTATAAATGCAATGCTATTCAGGATTAGGGGCTAAAGTAATGGTTGAACAGAGGGGCCCCGTTTTACCTTGTTCATGTTGCGGCTCCCTATATAAAGGTCCAGGCTTCACCCATCACAGTGGGCATACCTCCGAAGGAGGCTTCGGAGACTGGATGGACCACAGCCCTAAACCAATACAGCACCCTGCAGCCAAGCATACTCATTGCACAAAGAGCCGATGTAAGCACCCATGTAGGATCCATGGCTGGAAGCAAAATTACAGGCCATATCCCAGGTACGATTCTGAAATCGGCACAGATGCATTGCTAAGAAATCGGAATTAAAGGGGGGGGGGGGGGGGGGAAGCATCTTCAAATCTTCAAAAGCTTTGCCAGTGTCCAATCACCTGAAGGTACCAACATATATCCCAGGGTCTATGTATTGTACAGTTTAGATAAGTATGCACTGTGGCACATAAATTAGCATTATGGGGGTGGGAGCAGGTTAACGCATGGTTAGTAATTGACTGGAAATCTACTTTACTTATACGTGCAGCTGCCTTTACAGTTCTCTTCATCCCATTGCAAAGTCCAAGAAATATTAATCCTGCCAGTCAAGTCCCCCTAATGCACATTCATGTTATGGTGAATACTAAAATGAACCTGAATTCACAGCAGAGTTGCCACATTCATGTAGGCTATAGGGAGAGTTTGTAGCAGAAGGAGTGGTCTATGTTGGAGAGATCAATAAACTGAATCTGAGGCTTTTAATATGGTAAGCGATTTCCCTGTTTTCCTCTTAGGCGATTCAGTATCTGTTTGCACACATTTGGGATAAAAGAAAAAAAAAAAAAAAAAAAAAAAAAAATATCTTGCAGGGAATGTGGCTGTCAACTATAGTGTGGTAAGCAAAACCTAGTTTTGCCCACTGCTTTATGAACCTACAGCACTGACTCTGCTGCTGACCCCTTCCACTGCTAGCTGCAGTTTCTGGGAGGAGGAGCAAGTGCAACACAAATGAAGGAAAATTTGGTTCTTTAAAGAAAGGTAAAGTTTTTGGTTTGCTTTATGTAGCTTGTACAACACATAGCAACTGGATTTGTTTACTCTGCCATACAAGACCTTTAGCTGTACTTTAAATTTTGCCACAAGAAACGCACTATTGAAAACAATATCCAGGAACCCCCTCACTACATTAATCAAAGAAAACACCCTCCCTCTCAGTTAAGTACATTTAAAAAATAAACAGAATTGTGCAGTAAATTCATGCCGGTGCTCATTAACTCACCTATAAATTGGGTGAGGAAGATAATTTTCTCCTTCAATGCGGATGTCTGGGTAACGCTGGCTTATAACCCGCATGTACTCTTCAAACACCCGCCGATAACCTCAGGAGATGCTGCAAAGGACCAAAAATATTTCATTAGCAGTTGATTTTAAGGTGCCTCACCCCAGACCTGTCAAATGATCCTATAATGATCAATTCCAGCAAGAAACAGCTCTTAAAAGGATAAGTTCACCTTTTGAAAAAAAAAAAAAAAAAAAAAAGCACTTGTTTTTTGCAGGTAAAAAAATGTGCATTTATTATATTTGTCTGCAGGAGCCTGTAAACCATTGCACCAGCGATCAGCAGATCACTGGTGCCATGCAGGTCCCCTGCAGATCTGCCAGTATATCTGCTTACCCATACAGGATGTACGAGCAAGCAGATATACTGACAGGAAAAATTCACAGCGCCGTGGTAGTGCATTGAGGGCTACAAGCTGACAGCTGCTAAGACTGTTGGGACATGTAGTCTGTCATTCACAGATGACTGAATGAGTGACGAGGCTGTGTGGGTGGAGCCCCGCATGGCCTTTTTTTTTTCTTTTAATTTGACAGCTAGTGGGGGGGGGGGGGGGGGGGGGGGGGGGGTGGGGAAGAGATCCCCCACTAGCCTAATTGTAACATGTTACACCCTGAATATGTGTGTAACATGTTATGAAAGGTGAAGTTATCCTTTAACAAACAATTATATATAAAATCAATTAAATAGTAATGTTGGAAGTAACATTTTAACATGGCCTTGCTTTGGAAGCTCACCAGAACATCTACATTACTGATAATGCAAAAACAGGTTGTTTTGGGTGTGCTGTCCATGAAGATCCTCATTCCACCTACATTTTGTCTCCTAATGGAACGAAGAAACCAGCATTCCTTACACAAGAGCTGTGGATTATAGAATGCTGCTTGTGGAAAGAAGATTTGTGTAGTAGTAATCCATGCTGGATTTAATCTGGTACACAGCAGGGATGCCAATTAAAATTTTGATCCTTGTCAGTTAAAAATCTTGATCATTGAGATCAGATTGCATTTCAAAGACTTCCTAGTCATAAAAAATAAAGACCCCATTCAAATCTGTTGCTACAGATTTTGATCTGACAAACCTTAGCATAAAAAAAAAAAGACAAAAAAACCCATATGCAAGCACAAGAGGGTGCCTGCTAATAAATTTGTTAGCCAAGAAAACACCTCCCCTATGTGCTTCATTGAAACTAGTTTTACCTCTGCATGCCCAGTTGTCATGTCTAATGAAAATGCCAATAAATGCACTATTTTGTGTGCACATCACCTATGAAAATTGTACCAAGAAGATGTAAAAAAAAAAAAAATAAAATAAATACAAACTACGCGTATTCCATAAGCACACTTAAAGATAAATTTCAACTTTGTTATAAATTGTGGCTTTGCTGGCAATCAAAATGTTTTTTAGCAGTGTTGTTACATATTCATATTGCTACTGTTCTCTTGTGGATTCTTCCTGGGAAATATTTTTGTTCCTGTAACAGAAACTTAGCAACCATATTGGAGACCAGTTTACAAAACAGCACCAGTGATTGCATCAATCAGTATTTTGCAATCAAGATCCATAAATAGAATGCATGAAAAAAAAAAAAAAAAAAAACAGAATTCTGAAAATACATACACAAATTTAAAATAAAGATTGCCATTGAAATAAAGGCATTTTTATAGTGAACCTGTATTTTGCATTTTTAGAGTGAATTAAAAGATTCCATAAGACCCCTTGCAGTCACATTACATACATTATGTTCCTGCCTCCCATGTCACCTGTCAATCAATTTAAAACAGCTTGTGCAAGTTCCAATTAAGTCTGGTTAGTGCTTACAGAGGGCTAAAGCTGGCCACACTTACATTTTTTTTTGTTCAGCCAGTTCCTCCATCCACACTAACAGCGTGAACGCACACATATTCCACTGCAGCTTTTGTATTCGGACAGTGGGCACCTGCAACTGTTAGAATACCTAAACAACACCTACAATTGTTACCCAGCTCCTTTGATTTTTCAATCAAAGGATGTCAGACAGAATCATGGCAACAGAACCACCCATAGAATAAATTTTGGCCAGTTCATTGGGAACTGGCAAAAAGTTGTAACATCTATGGCCAGCTTTAGGACTCCAATCCATATATAAGGATAGGAGAGAGAGCGCTACATGCTCCCCCAAATCCAGAATTACAAGGTACTTTTTCCCCCTCTTGTCCAAGCATTCACCAAACAAGAAAGTTTAGTTTTGCAAATACCCATGTTAACATACACACTGATGCCATCTATATACAGATGACAAGAGATTAGTCTATGTTTACGTAAATATTGTATTCTCAGCTGTTGACAGTCCTAGACAGGGGAAATTGACTTCTAGTAATTTGTGATTATTTCTCTGTATCTCTATGAACCCAGAAACACAACAGCTTGTGAAACATGATGAATTGTTTTTACAAATGCCTGTAAGAAATGTAAACAGCTATTAAAGTGGACCTATTCTCACATATTAACTGCCCTAAATGATTAGATAAGGAGTGAAAGAAGGGCTGATACACCTTTACTAGAGAACTGCTGATTCAGGATTCCTCCAATGTTGTAACCAACAACTAATGATCAGCCAGCATGAACTCTGATTCTTCTATGTTCAGCAGATGTTAAATAAACATGGGACCATGCTTTTGCTCATAAGAACAACATTAATGGGAGATTAAAGCAGTAATGAACCCAAAAGCAAACATTGCAGCTCACCAATTCTTATATGTGATGGCTGTACTGGTTTCCTTTAGGCTCGCTTTCTATCTCCATTTGGTGATCCAGCCAGCAAGTCTGCTATTTTTCAGAAGCTCAAGCTCTCCAGAAGAATGTATCAGTTTACACTGATGTGAAAACCCATTTACCACAGGCAAGGACAATTTCAATGATTAGTAATTTGTGTAAAACATGTATCCCAAAAGGAAAGAGGAAAAAAAACGTTTTCTGTAACTAATTACAAAGTGTGAGCTGGAGATTGGCTTCGTTTGTTATTGTATTCAAACCTGCTACTACATTTAACAAACCCCTCCCGACTGACAATGATGCTGTGCCTCCTGTGCCCATTCCTCCAGAGTGGTGCTGCACTAACATGTGGTGCGTTACTGGCCAGATCACCAGGCAGATAGGAAAAAGAAAAAAAAAAACTGATGCAGCCACCATATCTAAGGAGTGGTAGGATGCAATAAAAAAACAAAATAAATATTTGGCTTTGGGATTAATACCACTTTCTTTGTGAAATTCAAGTGTTGCAGCCATTTTACCATTCTTCCTTCATCTATCCCAGCAAAACAGTTAATGTTTCTATTTTCATTTACTATTCAAAATAGGTGTAAGCCATCTCATGTGTTAATATGATTTGCAGGCTCTGCGCATCGCCCTGAAATGAAGAATTATATGATGGTATGAGACATATGAATACTTTTCATTTCCAGTAGGATTTACTATGCTACATACTCGAGTTAGGAGGTTTTTTTTGTTTATTGCCTTAGGCTGTCTACGTTAAGAATACAAGACTTGTTTCTATACAGTTTTGAATTACTCATCCAAGGAGCAGCCATATTTGGTTGTGTCTGGCTGATCCTCTTATCTTGCTGCTAGGTAAGGGTCTATCTGTATATAAACAGCTCTAATGACATTTGACACTCATAATGCTCCTGTTAGTCAGAGGTTATCATCTAACCCTAAGGCTAGATATCTACACTTTATATATTTCTAGAGAAAGCAATCTATTCCCCTATCAACGCTAAACAGTGTGGATGGAAGAATCTCCCCTGCTGGCTCTTGTATTCTGACAGCCAGCGACTGTTTGAATATTCAAACAATGCCTAAACCTGACTGCAGTCATTGTTTGGGCCACAATTTTCCACTTGGCTTCTTCAGTTTTGAAATCAATTACTGTCAGGCTGGTTGATGCCAAAATTGTCACCTACAGCCCTAAACTAATTTAACCTGCAAGCCTCCACCCCACCCTACCCCCAGGGCGCTTACATGTCCTGGTGGTTGTGGCCTCCTGTGTCAATATCTTCTTCACTTCAGTAACTCCCCATAGACTTGAACTGGCCAATCCTACAGCAGGAATGCTGGGAGTACAGAACGATTCAAGCTCTATAGGGAGATCCAGCACAGGCAATGACAGATTTTGGGATGCAAGTTGTAAAGACAGAACTTGCATCCCAAAATCTGAAACCTACACTAGGGCGCTTTTTTTTTTCTCTGTTGTAACCACTCAAAGTGGAACTTAACCCAAAAAATACAAGTTTCGGGCAATTTTTAGACATTTTGCCAATGCACCCCTGAAAAAACCTCAAGGCACCCTGGTTGAGAAAGACTGTCCTAACCAATGGCTATAGATCATCTAGCGGGGTGTTCTGCTCGTTACACTGACACCTACACCCAGCTGACAGATGCATGGGTGTCTGTGCTAGTACACCATATGAAAGTCTTGTCTCCAAATATCACCAAATCGTCCTCTCCGCTCCTCCCACGACCTGCTGCTCTCTAGCTCCCTTATCTCCTCCCATGATCATCTAGAGGACTTCTCCAGAGCCTCCACCATCCTCTGGAACTCTCTACCTCAATCTATCAAACTATCGCCTACTCTGCCCACTTTTAGGAGATCTCTGAAAACCTCTCTCTTCAGGGAAGCCTATCCTGCCCTCAGCTAATAATGGAATCTTCTATTCCTCCCATCAGTTCATCCCCCACAGTTATTACCTTTTGTATCACCAGCCCCTCCCTCTTAGACTGTAAGATCCAAGGATCAGGCCCTCCTAACCCTCTTGTATTGAACTGCATTGTTTCCCATTATATTGTAAAGAGCTGAGCAAACTGTTAGTACTATATAAATCCTGGATGATAATAAAGTGGACCTCCACCATCATCTATCACTTTTCGTTTCTCGCCCTCACTCCCTTACACAATTGGATAATGTTTTTGTAGGAGGATATGGCACTCTCAGTGGGTTCCAGCTGACTCTTCTGGCATCCTTGTCTAGATGACAATGACA